ACTCCAACTCAAAAAAAAAAAAAAAAAAGCCTAGGCCCTTTCTATCATACCCTAATAGTGTTAGGTGAAGAGATCAGGATTTGGATGATTGGGGAGGTGCATTCTAAAACATGTAAAATGTCAGCGTAAGGTGTTAGAACACAGACTTTATTGTGTACCAGTAGTAGGTTTCAATTCCAATTTCATGGCTTGGTGACCTTGGGCAAATCACTTTAAGCTTCAGTTTTTTATCTTTGACATAGTTTGATTGTTGTGAGGATTAAGGATGCTATATGCAAAGTGCCTAATGTGGGGCCTGGTTTACAGTGATCCCAATAAATATCTAAATATAAATAACCTTGGTTTTTTAAAATGAACTCCTCATTAATATGAGTGTTTCAATATTAATTTAACCAGTATATGCCTATTCATTAAATACTTAATCCACAAATATTTCTTCAACAAATAAAGTTTGACTGTCATAGAACGATCTATGGCTGAATGGGAGGTTGGACTAGATCATGTCTAAGTACTATGACCAAACTGGAGATTATGTGCTGTCTTTCTCCTCTGTTACCAGTAGCATCCTATTCAACTTTAGGTGAGCCTAATTAGGCTTTTGTCTTTCTTCATAGGAAGGATGAAGGGCAGGCCTGGCTGAGCTGTCATCCCCCAGGTAATATTCATAAATCTATATACTTTCACTGTAAAGAAGAGGGATTTGCTTCCTTGAGAAGAAAGCTTCCTACTTTTTCCTGGCCCAGCCATCTTGCATAATGCTCATAGTCTGCAAACATGCTTGACCGGTCTGTGCTATATGGACATTATCCTAACTCCTCAATTTCAGTGGAAGACCTTTGAATTGGTTTTCCATTTGGAAGCCACAGACTTATTCATGGAGACATTGCTCATGCATCTTAATCAGTTCCTTAATTCTATGCTGTTGTATTCTAAGCAGTTCTATAGCTTCAGTTGGGACCGTCTTGGTGATAATTTCTAGATCTATAGCTCCAGACCTGAGTGCTTCAAGTTCAAGCAGATATTAAACAGTTGTCTGCTAGACATTTCTGCATAAAGGTCTTGCTGTCATCTTAAATTACTTTACTTACTCAAGTCCCAAACCAAGCTGAGCTTATATATTGTCAAATGAGTTCTATCTCTTGATTTTTCTCATTTTTTAAAATGCCATCATTTTTCTAGGCATTTTTCTTAGTTGCCTCACCCTGTCATATTTAGGCAGCTCCCAAATCTTACCTGTTTTTCCTTTGTCACTCCTATGTCGTTCTGAACCATTTGATTCACATTGTAACCATTGTGGTACCATTGCAAAAACAAATCAACCTTCCTTCAAAAGTCTATGGGAAAGATTGGGCACAATGACTCACACCTGGAATCTTAGCACTTTGAGAGGCCAAGGAGGGAGGAATGCTTGAGCCCAGGAGTTTGAGGCCAGCCTGGGCACCAAAGCAAGGCCTTGTCTCTACAAAAAAAAAAAAATTAGTCTGGCATAGTGACATGTGCCTGTAGTCCCAGCTCCAGCTACTCAGGAAGCTGAAGTGAGAAGATTGCCTGAGCCCACTCAAAAAAAGAGAGAGAGAGAGAGAGAGAGAAAAGAAGAAGAAGAAAATAAATTCTATGGGAAAGTTTTGTTTTACTGATTATCTTTCATTTTAGAATCCATTAGAAATAAAGTTTTAAACGTAGTGTATTCTTCTGAGGAAATTATGCTGCATGTATTAAGAAGGTGGTAGCTAGGGTTTTGTTTTTTTTGTGTGTGTTTTTTTAAAGGGAAATAATTGAAAAAAGAGCAATTTAAAAATAGAGAGGAGATCATCTAGCAGAGAACTGTACCTCAGGTGGAGGTGAGAGATTTCAGTTCAGTTCTTTATGTCTTGTCCTGGAATTGCTTCCCTCTCTCCGGGCTGATGAAAACACAAGCCTCTACTACAGCCTATAAATATGGCCTGGGGCAATGGGGCTTGAGATTAGAGAGAAACAGGAACTGAGGTTGAGGTTCTATGACAGAAAGCCTCTTAAAGAAGAGGGATGGAACCAGATATTCAGTAGGGATGAGAGCCTTAGTGGTTTTCCCTGAGGGATTGGAAGACACACACACACACACACGCACACGCACACGCGCGCGCGCACACACACACGAAGAGCTGGTGGCAGGTTGGGGACGCCTCAATAACAGTCTTATGCTCTAATCCCAGGCCTATGCACAAAACTCATCTGGTGTGCAGTCTGCAGATGTGAAGGTAGTTGTCAAGAAGGGTGTATAGACTTGTGATTGGCTAAGGGATAAGTGAGCCCTTGAAGGTGCCTCCATCAAATGTAGAGTACCACCAGAAGCAAAGCATTGATGCGTGGGTCCTCCAGTCAGAGCAGGCAGTGAAGGGGTATAATGTCTTGGTTGCCCAAGGAGTCAAGGTGTCTTCCATTCTTTTTTTTTTTTTTTTTAGTTGGAGTCATACTCTGTCTCCCAGGCTGGAGTGCAGTGGCACGCTCACGGCCACCGCAGCCTTGACCTGCTGGGCTCAGGTGCTCCTTCTACCTCAGCCTTCCAAGTAGCTGGAACTACAGGTGTGCGCTACCATGCCCAACTAATTTTTTGATTTATTGTAGAAACAAGGTCTCACCAGATTGCCCAGACTCCTGGTCTTGAACTCCTGGGCTTAAGTAATCCTCTTGCCTTGGCCTCCCAAAGTGCTGGGATTACAGGCTTGAGCCACTGGACCTGGCCTAAGGTGTCTTCCATTCTACCTGCTGATAGAGCCTTTAGAGGAGACTAAATCACTAAGCAACTAAAAAAAATAAAAATGAAAATGAAAATATATGGATTGAATGTAGAGGAGAAAAGAACTACCTGAAGAACCAATGTCTTAGAGGAGAGAGAAGGAGATTGAATTAAGCCTAAGAGACTTGGATGAAATAAGATGAGGGTAAGTGCAAGTGTAGGTAAATGTGTGGACATGTATGTAGAAATTTGAGGGTAACTTATAGCCTCAGTTTTCTTTATGAGTTGGAGCTAAATCAACTCTTAAGGAGCAGGGTTTTGTTCTTTTTCTTTTTTTTTTCTTTTTGAGTTGGAGTCTCACTCTATTGTCCAGTCTGGAGAGCAGTAGCTCGATCATGGCCACTGCAGCCTCGACCTGCTGGGCTCAGGCGATCCTTCCACCTCAGCCTTCCAAGTAGTTGGAACTACAGGTATACACCACCACGCCTGGCTAATTTTTTAATTTATTATAGAGACGAGGTCTTGCCAAGTTGCCCAGGCTGGTCTCAAACCCCTGGGCTCAGGCAATCCTCTTGCCTCTGTCGCCCAAACTGCTGAAATTACAGGCATGAGCCACCATGCCTGGCTTATTTGTTTGTTTTTTAAGAGATGAGTTTCTCACTGTGTTTCCCAGGTGCTGGATTTGAGCTCCTGGGCTCAAGTGACACTCCCACCTTAGCCTCCTGAGTAACTGGCACTACAGGCTTGGATGAGTCACCACCTGACTTCTCGGGTTTTGTTTCTTTGTTTTTGAGTTAGAGTCTCACTCTGTCACCCAGGCCATAGCGCAGTGGCACGTTCGTGGCTGCCACAGCCTCGACCTGCTGGGCTCAGGCGATCCTTCTGCCTTAGCCTTCCAAGTAGCTGGAAATACAGGCGCATTCCACCACGTCCAGCTAATTTTTTGATTTATTGTAGAGATGAGGTCTCACCAAGTTGCCCAGGCTGGTCTCAAACCCCTGGACTCAAGCAGTCCTCTCGCCTCCGCCTCCCAGAGTACTAGGATTATAGACATGAGCCACCATACCCAACGTGTTTTTATTTTAAATAAAAGCTTTTTTAGGTAAATTGTATGCTATCTGTGTTCTAGTTACTTTACATACACTTATTTCTGTTTCTTACAATCATGTGAGGTAGATGCTGTTAGGATTCTAGATTATTTGTTGAACAGCTTTATTGAGATATAATTCACATACCATAAGGTTCACTTTTTTAAAGTGTACAATTCAGTGGACTTTAGTATATTTACAGAATTATATATCATCACCACTATCTGATTTCAGAACATTTTAAACATCCTCCCAAAAAACTCCAGACTCATTACCAATCACTCCCCATTCCCCAGTCCTAGCAACCACTAATTTACTTTCTGTCTCTGTGGATTTGCCTACTTTGGACATTTCATATAAATGACATCATAAAACTCTTGGTCTTTTGTGTCTGACTTCTTTCATTTATAATGTTTCCATTTTGTAGTTTTTATCAATATTTCATTCCTTTTTGTGGCCAGGTGATATTCTGTTGTATGGATATACCATGTTTTTTTTATCCATTAATTGATCAATAGACATTTATTTCCACCTTTTGACTATGATGAAGGAAGGAGATTTTTTTTTTTTTTTGAGTTGGAGTCTCACTTTGTCGCTCAGACTGGAGTGCAGTGGCCGCTCCCGGCCACCGCAGCCTCCACCTGCTGGGCTCCGGCGATCCTTCTGCCTCAGCCTTCCAAGTAGCTGGAACTACAGGTGCACGCTACCACGCCCAGCTAATTTTTGATTTATTGTAGAGATGAGGTCTTGCCAAGTTGCCCAGGCGGGTCGCGAAGAAGGAGATTTTAATGGCGAGGTAGGTGGTATGAGAACTGGTTCTGTGGGGAATGGGAGGGGCAAAAGGACTATAAAACTGCTGAGTTTGGAAACATGAATTGGCATGTTGCCAGTCTGCACAGTTGTGTCCTTTTCTGTAGCAGCACTCAGCAGCCTGCATATAGGAATGTAGATGGTGAGTTGGATTGATCTCACTTCTGTTATATAACAAAATTGAGACTGAGGTTATTTTAGTGACTTTCGCAAATGTAGAGAAGCCATTGAAGATGCTGACAGGAGGCTGGTTGAAATGATGTATCATGAGGGCCAGACTTCTCAGGGTGGTTGGTGAAGACAGGAGGCAATCATGGAGTGGGATAAAAAAGCAATGTTGCCTCTGTCTTGTTTTTGTGGCATTATGAGTTTCTCTGTGGTATATCCTTAAACTACTATTTCTATGACTACTATAACTAAACTGGTATATTAATTGATACCTCCTTCACCCTTGTTATTTTTTACTTTCCTTTATTCTGGACATGCTCCCCCTTGACTTTGAGTTTTCATTCCCTTATTTTCTTCCCAGGCAGGTCTCATCTTTGAAGATCCTGGTCAAGTCCCACTTTCTCTAGAAAGCCCTCCCACTCTTGTGTTAATCCATGATGGTTTCTACTTCCCGCTTACTCCTATAACTTTAATTTGGTGCAACATTTATTTACTGAATGACTTGTAGCACCTTGATAGTTTCTGAACTCAAGGACTTCACAGTCTAGTGAAGTCAGTCATGTAACCAGTGTGTTACGGGTTGTTATAGATGTGAGTAAATAAGGTACAGAAGAAGAATGGAAAAAGTTTTTAACTTCATTCTATCATCTTTACATGTTTGTGTGTAGGATAATATCTTTCTTAGCCCATGTTACTGCAAAGTCAGCATTCTACTTAGGCATATTTTCCAGGTTATTTTTATTTTTTTATTTTTTGAGTTGGAGTCTCACTCTGTCACCCAGACTGGAGTGCTGTGGCATGCTCCCGGCCACTGCAGCCTTGACCAGCTGGGCTCCAGTGATCCTTCTGCCTCAGCCTTCAAAGTAGCCGGAGCTATAGGCGTGTGCTACTTTTTTTGATTTATTGTAGAGACGAGGGCTCGACAAGTTGCCTGGGTGAGTCTCGAATCCGTGGGTTCAGGCAATTCACTCGCCTCAGCCTCCCAAAGTGCTGGGATTATAGGCTGAGCTATTGAGCCTGGACTTTCCAGGGTATTGAAGCTTAATTCTTTGCTATGTATTATGTGACTATACTGTGGATAAATAAATATTTGCATGCTGATCTTCACCTTGCATCCTGGAATAATTACATTTCACAGGCTGTTAAAACAGATTGAGATCACTCTAATAGCTCTCTCTACAAATGCTGTATCATATCTCAAAATTTTTGTTTTTAGATTTTATTCTTTCAGTGTATTCCCTCTCAAATTAGGTATGCCTAGGGCTACAGTTTGGATGTTTGATCCCTCTGAATCTCAGGAAAAGTTAGTGAGTTCCCAACCTTTTTAGTTCCTGAGAGTGCTGGTTGTTAAAAAGAGCCTGGCACCTCCTCCCCCTTGCTTCCTCTCATGCCATGTGATTTCTGTACATGGTGGCTACCCTTTACCTTCTGCCATGAGTGGAAGCAGACTGAGGCTCTCTTCAGGAGCAGATGACGGTGCTGTGCTTCTTGCACAGTCTGCAGAACTGTAAGCTAAATAAACCTCTCCTCTTCGTAAGTTACCCAGCCTCAAGTATTCCTTTAGAGTAACACTAAATGGATTAAGACCTCTAGTCTTTTCTCTTCACCTGACTTTTAACACAGGCACCTATCTTTCTTTCATGGGCCAGTATCATGAGCATTCCATGTATACAGATGCCTGAATTGGGTCTTCCAAGGATAAAAATGCAAAATTCTTAATTTTTGAGACATGCTTCTTTTGTGCCACATAGGAAAACCATCTTTGTATGGCAGTCTGACTTGTCAAGGAATTGGCCTAGATGGCATCCCTGAGGTTACAGCTTCGGAAGGATTTATTGTGAATGAAATAAATAAGGTATGTTTTTATGTCTTCTAGATGGCACAGTATTCAAAATTATGGTAGTACCTATAAATCTACTTTAGATATGTATACTATTATCTGTGTATCTGTGTCGTCTCCACTTTATTTGTACAATAATCATAGTTTTTCTGCCTTTGAATGTCAAGAGTTTTTTTTTTCTTATAGTTATATATACTTTTTTTTTTTTTAGTTAGAGTGTCACTCTACTGCCCAGGCTAGAGTGCAGTGGCACACTCATAGCTACTGCCGCCTAGACCTGCTGGGTTCAGACAGTCTTTCCGCCTTAGCCTTCCAAGTAACTGTAACTATAGGCACGCACCATGATGCTCAGCTAATTTTTTTGGTTTATTGTGGAGACAATCTCTCACAGGCTGGTCTCAAACCCTGAGGCTCAGGCAGTCCTCTTGCCTCTCACCCCTGAAAGTGCTGGGATCACAGGCGTGAGCCACTGTGCTCAGCTAAACACACACACACACACACACACACACACACACACACACACACACACACACATTATTTTTT